TATATATATATATATATATATATATATATATATATATATATATATATATATATATATATATATATAAATAAATTAATTAATTTGAAGAAGAAGATTGAAGAAGTCGTGTCAGCTGTTTGTTATTCAGAATCCAAGTAGTATATTAAAACGTTTGAAAATGAGACAGAAGTAATAAGAGAAAAATCTCAAACGAGAAAAGAAATGGTAAAAAGAAGTAAAAGAAGGAGAAGATGAAGAAGAAGAAGAAGAAGAAGAAGAAAATAAGGATAAACGAGAGAAAATGTCTGTGTGTAAATAGTAGTAGTAGTAGTAGTAGTAGTAGTAGTGTGAATTGAAAACGTTATTGAAAGGAAACGAGAAAGAATGATTGCAAGTAGCATGTCTTTTGTAATCACACTGTCTCATTCTTTCTTGTTCATTTAAATCGTATATACAGATGATGTCTTCTTAAACTTCTTATTTTTTAATATATATATATATATATATGTATACACGTATATATGTACACGTATGTATCAAATCGTAGACGTCACATCAAGCATCGATAATTTAAAAAAAAAAAATAAATAAATAAAAAGAAGAATAATTATCTTTCAATACTTTTTATATGAAGAATACTATAAATAGTATATTTATTATATAATTAATTATATAATAAATTATATAATAATTATACTATTATTATTTATATATAGATTATATGAATTAAATAAATATATTATATTATTAAATTATATTATTAAATTAATTATATTAATTAAATTAATTAAAATATTATTATATTTTATAATTATATAAAAAATATACTATTATTATTTACATATATATTATAACTATAAATAATTATATATATATATTTGGAATAAATATTATTATTATTATATTATATGTGTATTGCATAAGTATTTAATTATATTAAATAAAAAATATTAATTATAAATTATTAAATACAAAATTAAATATTTAAAAAAAATAAGAAAATACAAATATAAATTTATATATAATCATATATATATATA